CAAAACATAATTTCAAAATTTTATCCAAATATTTTTCTCCACCGGAAAATTGTGATATTTTTCATTTTCTCTTTTTCTTCCAATAAAATATTTCATTGATTGCATTCTCATGCGTGTGAAAAATTGTTTGGCATTTTATTTATTAAAAAAAAATTCAAAAATTCAATGAGAATAAAACACAGTCGGATAAACACCTGTTTATTTTTCATTTTTTAATTATTCTATTTATCGCGGTGGCGATAGAACTCCACGAGTGTCAGGGAAATAAATTTGGCGTGTCGTGAACCCGGTACGGGGTGTTCACCCAACGAAAATAAAGTGGCGGTAGAGCGTACATTGGGACAAACCCACTGGCACTGGCTGTATATAGAGTAGAAATTCACTTCTATACGTGGGCATTGCTGGCGTTGCATTGGCAGTGGGGTCGATGAGAATTCCTCGCGCATCCCGATTTTCCAACGAACCGGAATAAAGGGCCATTCGCGCGTGACTACCGGAATCGCGTCGGCCACCGTAGATCCCTCGGCCTTTTTTTTCCCCGGGCTAAACACTAAATTCATACTGTACCACGACAAACACGTGCATGAACTAATGGGCATTGTGAATGGATCCTTGATTAAACTGTTGAAATGAGGAGGAGAAGGTTGATATTACGGTTGAGATGATTACTCCCTCCTCTTCATACTCCTCGTAATCGTGTAATCATGAGGAGGAATATTTCATGCGCTGGTACAGGGAGAGAAAATTTTGAGGGTAATTTTCATGGAATTTCGCTCATTTGAACGATAAAATTCTCGAGTGGAAAAAACATTTTTTGGGAATTTTTATCACGTGACATTTCCACTGAAATTTCACAATTTGACGGAAAAATATCCCATGAAAATCTTTGTTATTTCAAATTAATTGCAAGTTCAGCATAATTTAAAGCTAAATATTTCTATTTTTATTAGTTTTGTATTCAAGTAAATTCTCGCCTTCCTGCAGCTAAAAAATCTGGAATTTCTTGAATTTTCAGTGAAATCTGTTCCCCCCTCAATCGAATTGAAAATCTTATTCACCTCCCTTAAAAGCGACGAATAAATTGTGCATAAAATTTAATTTTTTTTTGTGTTTCAACACGTTCTCAAGGTCACTTTAATACTCCTCCCTGTACCACATACGTGTCGCCCCCAAATCAGCATCTGTACCTCAGCACGTGGAGAATCCGCACTCCTTGGATACGGCACGCTGGGCGAGCCACTTAACACTCGGCAATATATCGTCCAGCCACGGTATAACTGTCTCCGTGCATTACGTTCTCAATGTAACAAACCAAACCAACATGAATTCCCAACATCCACCTGCTTAAGCGATTCCCCTTGTCGCCGTCTCGGATCAATCGGCTCATAAACTCGTCCCCAAGTGCTAATGCTCGTTATTCCTCCCGATTAAAAGAATTCCCCCCCCCC